CTCAGCCTTCCATCCTTCCGAGGTGGGTAAAATGAGGACCCAGATTGTTGGGGGCAATATGCTGACTCTCTGTAAACCGCTTAGAGAGGCCTGAAAGGCCTATGAAGCGGTATATAAATCTACTGCTATATTCTCTGGTGTCAGATGCAAAGGTTCTGGTGTTGTGAAAGGCCATTATGGGACAGCCATTTCTCAAGGGGGAACTGAGGCAGGGGGATCAGCCGAGGCTGCTGGCAGAGGCTGCTTCTCAAGTGGAGGGCTCATTCAGACCTTCTCCTCTTGGCTTTCTCTTGCCTGGGGCCCCTGAGTGGCGGAGGCAGCCGGGGAAACCGCCCAGAGCAAATACAGCTCAAGGACAGGGGGACTGGCCCTAAGAGTGGACCATCAAGGCAGCAGTGGCTCCATTCGCAGCTCAGGGGGGGGGAGGGTTGGGGCAGGAACCGGGCGCTGGTCGGGCCACGGTGCTGGGGCTCTGACAGCACACAAGTGAGCCTGAGGGCCCCCTACTGCCCCCCTCCAGCCTTGGCAAGGGCACACAGTCATTTCCGGGGGCTCATCCTCCTGGCCCCGTCCACAGGAGCACCAAGGGGCACCCTGCGTGGACAGGACCCCCCCCCATTCTCGCTTCGTGCCCCCGGGGCCCACCGTGTTGCTTCTCTTCCAGGGCAGCAAAGGACCGGATGCAAATAGATCTTGAAGTGAGGACGGAAGAACTGGACATCGAGAGATCGACCTCCTCCGGCTTCTGGAACAAAGAGCCCGCCAGCGGAGACTACGGCCTGATCATTAATGGGCACAGCTTGGTAAGGTGGCAACAGACGGGGGCAAACAGGGGCCCGCAGCCCTCCTAGCACTTGGCCCACATTGGCACGCCCCGTCCCCCGAGGCCAGGCTGGTCCCGATCCTGCCAGTCACATGGCACCAAAGACTTGGATGTGTCCCAGGTGGTTTCTTATATTTTGCTGATGCTGTGAGGAGGGCAGCCATGTAAATTGATTGAATAAGTGAGGTGAGGAGGTATAAGTGCCAGTTGAGGACAGACAAGGGAGGTGGGGCAGTCTGGCCCTTCACTCGACCCAGGACCGTTGTTGGCCTCTTCCCGAGCGCTTTGCCCTCCAGCCTCGGGAGAAGGACCACCCTCTCCTGCACGCTCTGTGCCCCTGGCAGGCTCATGCGCTGGAGGGGGACCTCTCGGAGTTGCTGGTGGAGACGGCCTGCCTGTGCAAAACAGTCATCTGCTGCCGGGTGACTCCGCTGCAGAAGGCCCAGGTGGTGGACCTGGTGAAGAAGCACAGGAAAGCCGTCACCCTGGCCATCGGGGATGGCGCCAACGATGTCGGCATGATCAAAAGTGAGTGTGGTAGGTGGCCCGGCTCTCGGCCAGGCCCAGGGGAGAAGCTGCAGAAGCAGAGGGACTCTGGGCAGGGAACGGGAAGCAAATACAGCGGGGTGGCCGTGGGTGGCCCTCCCTCTGCTTTTGGAGGCCCAGCAGCACCTTGGCCATTCCCTTGAGGGCCGTCTCTGTCCGAGCCTTCCTGGGCCCCGTTTCTCTGGGCTTGGGAGGCCAAGCGCAGTCGCCGTGGGACGGGTGGATGCCTCTCCTGCTCCCGCTCCCTGCTGAGGGCCTTCCCGTTTGGTCTTCTAGCTGCTCACATCGGCGTGGGCATAAGTGGCCAGGAGGGGATGCAGGCGGTGATGTCCAGCGACTTCTCCTTTGCCCAGTTCCGCTACCTGCAGCGGCTGCTGCTGGTCCATGGCCGGTGGTCGTACATCCGCATGTGCAAGTTCCTGTCTTACTTCTTCTACAAAAACTTTGCCTTCACGCTGGTGCACTTCTGGTTCGGCTTCTTCTCCGGCTTCTCCGCCCAGGTACTCGCCTCCGCTGAGCCCAGGCTCCGCCCCCCACCCCGGAAGCAGCCGACTGGGGAGGGTGAGGGGGTGGGTGGAGCATTCCCCTGGCCTGCTCCAGCCAATGGTCAAGGGCAGGTCTAGAGCCCAGCAAGACCAGGCATCTCTTTTCCTGCCGGACTTCCAGATGAGGGGCTGATTAGTGACCGTGAGCCCTTTGCCAGGACAGCAGGAACAGAACACCCTCGTCTGCAGGGAGAAAGCCAGCTCAGTTTCAGCCATAGGAGGCTCCTCTCCAACCTCTCAAAGCCACACAGAGAATCCACAATCTTTGTAGTTACTGTCGCATAGAAATTTACCATCCGGAAGCTTTTCCCTTTCACTGACGTGAGAGTCAAGTAATTGTAACTTGTGCTCACAATTTTTGGTCCTGGACTCCGTTGCCATGGAAAGTCGCCCCTCCCTGTAGCTTCTCCGTGTGGATCGGCATGTGTCACACGCGTGTGCCCTTGGCCAGGGTGGGGACTGGGACACTAACCACACAGCTCGGCTTTGCACATCACACAACACCCTGCAGAGAGAAAGGAAGGAATTGCTGGAAAGGAGGCCTCGACTTTTGACCACTATTGAACCCAGAACTGTGGTGATAAGTCAAGGCATCACATGGCCACACCTGATTGATATAGAGCCGAGGTGGCACAGTGGTTAGGGTGCAGTACTGCAGGCCACTTCAGCTGACTGTTATCTGCAGTTCAGCGGTTCTAATCTCACCAGGCTCAAGGTTGA